GTGACTCTATTTAGGAGGGGAGTCATCAAAGATGTCAATCTTAGAGGGAGAGGTAGGCTTCACTTGGAATCCCACATAGCAAATCAGACAATTTCCTTTTAGTTTTGGATCCTGATATAAAGCCATAAAGGCCTGGACATATGCAACCGCACTCCACTTATGGGCCCTGCGACATAAGAGATCCAATTGTAAGATGGCGTTGTAATTTGCAGAGCCATTTTGTGGCCATTGTTCTCCATCATCTAACCTACACTGGAGCCAAGCCATACTGTAGAAAAATATGAGCTTTTTCCTTTTCAAGCCATCTAGTTTAAAATAGCTCCAGTTATTTAATATGCACTCCAAGGGTGACTGTTAAAGGATTGCTAGAGTGTTTCCCATCTTGTCTCCTATGGGCATGAGCAAAAAAGAGCTAAAAAAAAAAAGAAGAAGAAGAAAGAAAGAGAGTCAATCACCAAGGAGCAAGCATCCTTCTCCTTGTATGCCCTCTGCTTGAGTAGATGGGCAGGTGTGTCATCACCTCTCTTAGGGTGATCGAGACACAAAGGATTACTCAGAGCCCATTTCTCCAGAGCACTGAGAGGCCTGAAGGGGTTAAACCCAGGGAGAACTCCTTCAAGGGAGAAGGGTCCCTAGGAATAGTCCCGAGTCAGGTTTTCTCTCAGTTTTTATTTTACAGGCAAAGTTACAGAAGAAAAGCAGGAGATTAAGCAGTCAGTGAAAACATAAACAAATTGGCTACCTGACAATTTTCATTAAAGCAGGTGTAACTTAAAATAGTTCAAGCAATGTACCATCAAAAGGAGTCCTAAAACTAAGCTCCTGACATACAAAAGAAACAATGAGATAATCATTATGGCAACACTTAGTTCCCTAAGAAACTCAAAGACAAGGCTGAGAGTGAGATGTGGAACATCCCCCAACCACTAACTAGTGGAATAGCCGTTTTGTGTTGCTGTAAAAGAATACCTGAAACTGGGTAATTTATAAGGAAAAGAGGTTTATTTGGCTTATGATTCTGGACAGCTGCATCTGGCATGGGCCTCAGGCTGCTTCTACTCCTGGCGGAAAGTAGCAGGCAGCCAGCGGGTACAAGCAGATCACATGGCGAGAGGAAGCAAGAGAGAGAGAGGAGGTGCCAGGGTCTTTTTAAGCAACGAGCTCTCGTGGGAACTAATAGAGCGAGAACTCACTCATTAATCCCCCCACCCAAGGGAGAGCATTAATCCATTCATGAGGGATCCGCCCCCATGACTCAATCAGTTTCCAACACTGCCACATTGGAGATCAAATTTCCACATGAGTTTTGGAGGGGACAACACATCCAAACTCCATCATTGTGTTTCAATTTTTTTTATCTACATCAAAGACTTTAGTCCTGTGAAAGTTTTCTGGCTTTTCCCAATCTCAGCATTTCTATGTGTATTTCTAAAAAGTTGGGCTATTCCTTAAACTACAGGACTTTGGTCCTGCTAAAAACTAAGGACTGTGGTCCTACTAAGCTACAGACTATTCTAAGGACTTTGGTTTTACTAAACTAAGGACTTCGGTCCTACTATGTTAATACTAAGGCCCTGTGAAATACATGTGTTTTATTAATATCAGTATCCTCCACACAGGTGTCCCTCAGCCATCTACAACTAGGGCCCATCAGAAGGTGTCCCTCTCCAATGTGGCCATTTTTCCTTGGATGTCTCCAAGTTGGAGGAGCTCGATGTCAGCACCACGCTCAGCCAGTGAGCAAACCAGCCATCCCTATATAGGATCCGAACCCATGGCCTTGGTGCTATCAGCACCGCACTCTACCAAGTGAGCCACGGGCCGGCCTGGAGGAGCTCGATGCCCCATGCCCTCATCCCTAGGCATCCCATAGAGGTATCCCTCCCTGTAGACTCTTTTTTCTCATGATAAAGCTGGTGCCCAACAATAAGGTTAGGAATAGGATGCGGGCCATTTGACTGGGCATCTGCACAGGAGACAAAAAGGGCTGCTAGTTGGCCCTTTTACCAAAGATTTCAGTAGAACATTGAAAGTAAGGGCCACAAGTGTTGGGGAGTCCATTTGTCAGAGCATATTACACAAGGCCTAGTCTGAGCCCTGGCCATTTCTTTTTTTTTTTTTTTTTTTTTTTTTTTTTTTTTTTTTTTTCCCTTTATTTACTTATTTATTTATTTTTAATTATTTTATTATTGAATCAAAATCGATTATACATATTTTGGGGGTTGAACATTGAGTATGTTGGTTAAATCAGTATTACTACCATATATATTGTTACAAATCATAATTATTCTTTATGTCCCTTGTCCAATCTCTCCCCATCCCCCATTCCCTCTTCCTCCCCCCTCTAATTCCCCTTCATTTCTTCTCTCCTTCTGAAAGAATAATGGTTACTCTGTTAACTTGTTACCTAGATGATCTGTCCAATGCTGAGAGTGGTGATCAGGTCCCCCAATATTATCA